ATGTGTATTTTAAGTTTCTGTTAAGATTTTGACTTTAATGACTAAGAAAAACATTATAAATATCAAGAATGCGTCTCCAGTCGGGAACGTGATCATAACAAGGGTCATTAGTCATCATTGCTTGGTTCCTCACTGAGGTCTTACGACGAAGAACTAATGTTTTTACATGGGCGTTAACCACGTCAAGCTGACCTCAAAAAATCATTTAAATTATTGTTTCACCCTCGCTTTTGCTATCAACAAATTAGACGTCACATAATGCATGTACATCGAACGATTCTTCAATCCTGTAGGCTACTGTCCACGCAAGCTCTTCATTAAATTCAAAATGTTAAAGTACAAGAAACTTTAGTTTCTAATGCTGCCTCCCAAGACACCAGTCGTTGTCTACACTATTATTATGTATACACTACTTAGACTTTTTAAAAATTTACTAATAACAGAAAGGATTTTATACAAAATTTAATACAGTATATATCAATATTAAAAAATAATTCAAGCGGATATTAATAACGTCATATTGTCACAAACTACAGGTTTTAACAGAAATTGATAAATGTTAATACGTTAAATAATGTCATCGTTGTATTTATTCCTTTCCTTTTGAACGTCATTTTACAACAGACATTTAAATTAATTTTTAACTTACTTTTAAACCAAACAGAACCCCTGTTAATCTATTGCACACAAAAAGTATGCGAATTCTATATATATTTCGTTGTTTTCTGAAGAGATGATATTACAAATATAGAGTAAACTTGTTTTTAAACGTACATCCTCGCGCTCCGGAGTCTCGTAAAAGCAATTCAATTACTGCGGTAATTTGCACTGAATTCTGCACGCATTTAACAGGATACTAGGGCGAATCAGGTTGTGAAAAGCGAGAAACGAAGCCATTCACTTCGGTTTTGTGTTCGTGTCTGTTGGTTCTAAAGACGAGACTCAATCGAAATCCCCGATTGTTTTGGAAATACAAACAAACTACAAACTTCTTGAGGCCGAGGAGACATTTTGTAAAGGCAGAAGATCTGGGTTCAAAGTAAAAGTACTTTGCGGTTTCGAGAAATAGTTTGAACTGTTTGTTCCCATTGGCATCAGCTGCAGCTGGCAACGTTATTCTGTGATTCATCCTCGCTTGCTCTATGAGGCTTGAAGTCAATTGCGTACAACGCAGTTCGTGCCTAGAGTTCTCAGCACAATTAACGCCATTTTGGATGAATCTAATCCACTATGCAAAACAACATCCTGTAACTCTCTCTTCGGCGGAAAGTTATATAATGATTCACTAAATAAGTTTTTATTTTTAGAACCTTGCAAAATGAATGAGATGTTAAAGAATTATAAAAATGTGAATAATTTTATTAGCACGAGTCAAAGTTGCATGATATATGTCTTATATGTATGTCACCTCAAGGTAATTCATCGTAAGACCTATTCTATCAAATATAATTTGACTAGATTTTCGTGAAAATTAGTCATATCTATTAACGGTTAATTCCAGTCAAGTATCTTTTCAAAAATAAATAAACAAAATAAAGTAGCCTACATTACAGCAGTATATGCAGGGATCCGTGAATTAACACTTGGGTTAAACTTTATCGTTGAACGCACTGTATTTCCGTACAAATACTGGTTGGTAGATTGTTTTGGATTATCGATTACATGAAAATTAAAGAAATATATAATGGTTCGTTTTAAAAACATCTCAGATGAATTGGTTAGCAAGGCATTTAATTACAATGACTCATCAGCTGTGGTTACGAAATTATAAATCATTAACGAATTTTAATAATTTAAGAGAGTAATTATTAATTTATGTTTTCTGGTAGCTTCATCAAAACGACTGTATGCGCCATTTTATTCCAGAATTTATGTTGTTATATCTGCATCATCATATGCTACACTGTTGCGGTAGAAATAAATGCTACAAATCGTTTCTATGTTCACTGTCGAGAAAAATACCGGTCCACGGATGTAATTCGATAGGTATACAGCACATAAAATATCAAAGAGACCTACTCGTGGCAGACTTTAGTATTACGTCGGGTACCGAAATATTTTTCAAAAGAAATCGCTCTTTTAAGAAAGTATACATGATGACCTGACGTTCATTATAAGCATAAATTAAGGGTTATAGGGGAGATAAAATAAAATTAACTTCACTAATTTTGGTGTAAACCTCCGATACGATATTTTATCAATAGATGATCCGGAATTTTAAAGACAAAACATATGGACGGACAGAAATGATTCTGACTGTTCGATCCTACTATTACACAATTCAGGCAAAAGTCACTTGCTTCGTTACACGTGGATTTCTAAATAACAAAAACGTAATAAAATTAATTTACTCTATTTCGTACAAAAAAAGATTTGATTTAATATTCAGTTAACCTGGTCTACAGACGAAGAAACTTCCCACATGGGAGGATGCCAAGGCTCGACTTCGGGGGTGTTGCGCCATAGAAGAAGAAGAAGAATGTGGTCTACATGTTTTAAATATTTATTATAAGGTACTTGGCTTGCCGTGTAACAATTAATAATACCAGTCGGTATTGGATGGATAGAAAATTACCATATTTTTGGCACTATAAAAGGCAACACGACTTTAAGGGGAACATTTTTAAGACTAAAGATTACTTCCAAAGTGCAGTAAAACCCCTCAAGTTGGACACCCCTATATCCTGGACATTCCTTTATATTGGACACTTTTAATTGGAACCGGTGAATATCCTATAATTTTACATGTCCACAATACCCTATATCTTGGACACCCCTTTATCCTGGAACTTGAACACCACTTTTGTTGTATGTTGGGCAGGTTCATGCACTTAACTTCGATGCTTTTCAGGGAAACTTTTTCAGTTACATATTTTGTTATTTTGAATTTCTGACTGATGAATGCCTCCTCTCTGGAGGATTATCTTATGGACATTGAACCCATCACTGGAATGCATTGCAAGTGTTTAACTATTCTTTTGCTGAACCCTTAACTGGATTACTTTAACTTTAGAAAGTGTTATTGAGAATGGGCTGTAATGTGCAATGCATGGGAGTGAGCTCCAAAAGATTATTATTAATACTATTGTCATTAATTCTTAATTCAAGTAAGCCTACAGTAGTTAGTGTATGTAAGTAAATAGATTATATTGTCATTAGACCACAATCTGATTTTTCTCTTTCCCCCTATCTTGGACACCTCTGTAAGTTGGACACATTTTCGTGGAACCCCAAGTGTCCAACTTAGAGAGGTTTTACTATATAAGACACATTCAGATCCTTGAAAAAAGTTTCCTAAAAATAAGTGCGTCTTATTTTTCCCAGAAAATACAATAATAAATTATCAAAATTATTATCGTCATCATCATGCACTATTATTAATTTCGTCATTGTTTTGCGTGTTCTGTTGATGTTACTTTCCACACAAGATTTTTCACGGTTATTCCTAAAGACCGTCAACTCCATGGAGGTTGAAAACTTTCATTTACATGGCAATTATTATACTCCTCACTAATTACTACTATTAAGCTAATCACGACTACAGTTCGTCGAGTGATGAATGGCGACAGTGAATGACACGCAAAATTCCAGTTAACTCCGGACAACTGGTGCTAGAATTCGAATATGATAAAGTAGACACGTGTTGGAGCACTGTTTCATTCTAACTTCAAAGCATGATTTCTTATCAAGGTTTTAGCAACAGATCCAAGACAGGAAATACTGAAAAAATACTGAAGGACAATACAGTCATGAATATTCCGTCTCATTGCTGAAACCCTAAATCGTAAAATATTCATAACTATGATTTTACCTTTGAAGCGAGAGAAAAATAAATGAGAGTGTATACGTAAAACAGTATTTGGAATATTTTTGTGTAAGAGGGTCGGAGAAATGGGAATGGCGAAAATTAGAGTACCGTCAACATCAATTATATATTTCACACATAAAGTACGTCATTAACACTACATGTTTCGGCATGTCTCTCATCAGGTGTTGTTTAGATCAACTTCCATAATACATAATTAATAGAAAGTTATGGATCCATATTAATTACAATT